GGTCCCGCGGCTGCGGAAGTGCTGGTGCGACCACAGGGAAGGGGGGGGGGGGACCCCGACCCTCACTGGCCCCGACCCCCACCCACACCGTCTCTGGAGCGTCTTCTTTCGGACTCGGAGAGCAGGTCCCCAAACTGGGGTCCCCGGGAGCCTGGAGGAACCCCAGGCACAGGATCCTCCTCCCACGCCAGGGCCACATGCAGGCGCTGGCGTTGCCTTCAGCCCATAAACACCCGCGGGGGAGGCTGTGCCCGGAGCAGGTCCGGGGTCCTGTGCGCTCGGGCAGAACTGAGCTGAGTGTTTACGGAGCTTCAGTCTCTTCCTGGGAACAAAGGGCACAGGCGGGACCCTGTCCTCCCGGAGCCCCTGAGGCCACAATGGCACCCGGACGTGGATGGTCCTTTGAGTTGGGCGATTGGGAGGAGGACAGGCACGGGGTGCATGTGGGGGGCTGTGGGGGGGATTGTGGGTTCTCAGTAGAGGAGCTTTTTCTGGTTTCAGCTGCCCCCATCCTGCCACCAGGTGTTAGAAATAAGGCGATACCCAAGTCAGAGGTCCTGGTAGAACACAAAACACACCCGGGAGCCAGGCAGAGGCAGACATCTTTACTTCCACGGAGAAGGGTGCGGACACATGGCCTGGATGCAGGTGCACATCCAGCAGGTGGTCTGCTCAGATTTATAACCTCTGACACCCGTGACCTGTCCCTTACTGTTGATTGGAGCTCAGGCGCACAGTCTTTCACGATTGGCTAATACAAAGGGAGGGGTTGGGCCCTGCTGTTTCAAGATGGGGGCCCCCAGGGGAGCTGCAAGTCATGCAGCCAACATGGCCGCTGCCAAGTCACACAGTCCAACATGGCGTCCTTCTCAACTGTTCTTTGACAGAAAAGATGATTTGTTTCTTCTCATACAGGGCTGGGTGACCTTTGAGGACGTGGCCGTGTTCTTCTCCTCGGAGGAGTGGGAGCTCCTTGATGAGGCTCAGAGACGCCTGTACCATGATGTGATGATGGAGACCTTGGCCCTGATGGCCTCCCTGGGTAAGGCTTTCAAACTCCTCCCGAGCCCGGGCAGTAGTGTCTGCCTTTCCCTTTCCCCCTGAGCGGGTCTGCCCTCACACCAGGATCAAGGCACGGCTTTCTTCCCGAGGACCCTGGATGGGTGCTGTGCTTACACCCCTGCATGGGTGCTGTGCTTGGATCGCTGGGTGGGTGCTGTGCTTAGACCCCTGGATGGGTGCTGTGCTTGGTTGGTTTGAGGTTTGTGCATGGACCTCTCCTTCCTTCAAGAGCCCCAGACTTGCAGGGAAGCAATCAGGGCAGGAGTCTTCCAGTGAACCCACTGGATACACCTGACTTGCTTCTCCCTGACCGAATGACTTTGTTCAGCTCCCAGGCCCGTGTGTACCTAGGTTCTGCTGCCTCCTTCCAGCTGACATTGCCTCAGGCCTGCCTGGGCCAGGGATCCCCATGACTGACATGGTTCCTCCTCCCATGGACCGTGGCTGTTTTTGCAAGACCCTCCTTCGAAGTTCTCTGTGTAGTATTTGGTTTTCTTTTCCGTTGGCTGTGATGTGCTGAGTTGTTCTGGGCTAGTGCTGGGTACTCATGGTGCTGTCCTTCCCTCGGTACCTGTATATGATGGCATGCCTGTGCTCACTGAGGGAGTTGGGTTGGGTTAGAAAGAGGTGGTTCACAGGATGTACATGAATCCAGGTTCAGCAAAATGTTAGGAGTGGCAACTGGAGAAGGGTGTGATGCCAGTGCTGTGTTCAACTCATACCAGACGCCTACTGTGTTGACCTAGTGTTTTGTATTGTTTGTGCAGCTGCCTCCTGTACACCCCCCACTGGGGATGTGCCCACAACCAAGGTACATGCCCTTGACCGGAATCGAACCTGGGACCTTTCAGTCTGCAGGCCAAAGCTCTATCCACTGAGCCAAACCGGTTAGGGCTGGATTACTGTTTTGTTCCCATGCCGGGGCCACACTTCATTTCTGTCTATCTTTCCCCTTCCTTGACATTTCACCAATTTCTCAGCTCTATCACTTTTCGCTTCTACTCTCACCTCTAGCCTCACATCTCTGCATTGTGTGTGTAGCCTGTTTTTCTCACCACTCCATCTGTGGTACTTTCCTCGTTGGGCCCTTTGCATTGTGTCCTGAGGTGTGTGCATATTTCTAAAAGTCCCTGAATACCAGCTGCCCTGTTACAGTTGTATTTTCTTGCACCTTAACACACCCGTCTGCACAGCTTTCGTGTGTCACCAGTAGCGAAGTTCTCTTGGGAAGTCGTTGTTGAAGCGAATTGTGGACCTGTGTGTGCTCTCTGTGTACACTGCATGGTTGTGTCCTTCACCACGTGAGGCCTCCCCCAGTCTGTGCTCTTCATAGCCCAGTACTGCAGAGCAGCCCATCCTTAACCTGAACCAATTCCCTGGTCCTGCACACAATGCCATGGACTTGTTCCTGGGTTTGTCGGACACACATGTGTGTGGACTGCCCCTTCCCACCAGAGTCAACATGCACTTAACCAGCACTTTTCGTTTCCAGGTTGTTGGCATGGAGCCCAGAACGAGGAGGCCCCGTCTGAGCTCAGCAGTTCTTTACAAGGAGTCTCACAGGTCAAGACCTGCAAGGCAGGTGTGTCTCCCCCGGAGGCCCATCCTTGTGAGCTGTGCGGTGTGGACGTGAGAGACAGTTTGCACTTCACTGGGCACCATGGGCAGACACTGTACAAGACGGGGGCCTGTGAGGAACAGTCGGATGTTAGCGCGGAACTTGAGCATCAGAAGCAGCACACGGGAGAGGTGTGCTTCAGAGGCCGCATGGACAGAGCCTCCTTTGGAAAGGACTGCAGATTCTGTGTGTCCGGGCAGCCCGATTCCTGTGAGGCGGTTGTGAGGGACTTCCTGGCCAGCTCAAGATTCCTCCAGCATCAGGCCGCACACACCAGGGAGAAGTCAAACCGGGGAACTGAGTGCGGAACAGCCTCTCATAAGGAAAGAACTCTGTCTGACCCAGAATACACTAAAGATTTTAATTGCAAACACAAGCTTGTTCAGCACCAGAGAGTCCTCACCCAAGAAACATGCCACGTGAGCAATGAATGTGGAAAATCTTACAGCAAAAGCTATAGTCTGAATGACCATTGGAGAGTTCACACTGGGGAAAAGCCTTATGAGTGTGGGGAATGTGGGAAGTCCTTTAGGCAAAGCTCTAGCCTCATTCAACACCGGAGAGTTCACGCCAGAGCGGAGACTCACAGGTGTGAGTTATGTGGAAAATTATTTAGCAACAAGTCCAACCTCATTAAACATCGAAGAGTTCACACTGGAGAAAGGCCTTATGAGTGTGGGGAATGTGGGAAGTCCTTTAGCCAAAGCTCTGCACTCCTTCAACACCGGAGTGTTCACACAGGAGAAAAGCCATATGAGTGCAGTGAATGTGGGAAGTTCTTTACCTACAACTCCAGTCTCATAAAACACCAGAGGGTTCACTCTGGGTCCAGGCCCTATGCCTGCAATGAATGTGGAAAATCCTTTACTCTAAAGTCTCGCCTGATTGATCACTCCAGAGTTCATAGTGGAGAAAAGCCTTATAAGTGCAACGAATGCGGGAAATGTTTTAGCCAAAGCTCTGTGCTTCTTGAGCATCAGAGAATTCACACTGGAGAAAGGCCTTATGAGTGCAGTGAATGTGGGAAATTCTTTACTCACAATTCTAGTTTCTTAAAACACCAGAGAGTTCACACAGGGGAAAGGCCTTATGAGTGCAGTGAATGTGGGAAATGCTTTACTTACAGCTATACACTCATCAAACACAGGAGAATTCACACAGGAGAAAGGCCTTATGAGTGTAGCCAATGTGGGAAATCTTTTAGCCAAAGCTCTGCACTTTTTCAGCATCAGAGAGTTCACACAGGGGAAAGGCCTTATGAGTGCAGTGAATGTGGGAAATTCTTTACTTACAGCTCCAGTCTCATCAAACACATAAGAATTCACACTGGAGAAAGGCCTTATGAGTGTAGCCAATGTGGGAAATCTTTCAGCCAAAGCTCTGCACTTTTTCAGCATCAGAGAATTCACACTGGGGAAAGGCCTTATGAGTGCAGTGAATGTGGAAAATGCTTTACTTACAGCTCTAGTCTCTTAAAACACCAGAGTTCACACCAGAGAAAGGCCTTATGAGTGTGGTGAATGTGGGATATCTTTTAGGCATAGTTCGAACCTCATTAAACATCAAAGATTTGCCCTAGCTGGTTTGGCTCAGTGGATAGAGCTTCGGCCAGTGGACTGAAGTGTCCCAGGTTAATTCTGGTCAGGGGCACATGTCTGGGTTGCAGGCTTGATCCCTACTAGGGGGTTACAGGAGGCAGCCAATAAATAATTCTCATCATTGATGTTTCTCTGTTCCTCTCTGGAATCAATTTTAAAAAATTAAAGATTTCACACTGCATAAAGGCCTTGTGAATATTGAATGTGGAAAATAATTTTATCTTCAACTCCAGGCACCTCCAGGTCTTATTGCTCAAGCTACTGTTAATATTGAGGTTCTAGTCACTGTTTTGGGCCCTTTGAAGTTGACCTGTTTGCTAGTATGAAGAGGTGAACAGCATTGGTTGGGATCCTAAACTTTGTGTGCCTCAGGGCATAGTGTGATGGCAGAATACACATCTTCAGTTTTGGCCCAGTTTGCGTTGCTGCTCGTAGTCTTTAGGAAAGACGGCGGAGCTTTGTGGCCCTATATTGTAGCTTCGAAGCCATTATTTGGGGGTTCTGAGTTCAACCTGAGAAGGGGGTCCTTGTGACAACCTTCATGCTTCTGAGAGCAACATGAACTTGTTCTCGTTCACAGGGCTTCTTGTCTCATGCTCAGCACTGGTGAGGGACCGTCTGTCCCTGCAGGTCCTGCAGTGGAGCTGTGGGCCCTGAAGTCCTGACTTCTGTAGGTACCATCGCTGGTTTTAAGATGACAGGGGGCCAGGAGAAGGATCATTGTTGCAGAAACACTGGACTCAGAGAGAATGGAGGAGACTGCCACAAACTAGCTAGCATGCTCTATTTTTTTTTATTGGTTTATTTCATTTTATTTTCTAGAAGGCGCTTTCAGAGAAGGGAGGAGAGAAACATCAATGTTGGGAATCATTGATCAGCTGCCTCCTTCATGCCCCCTACTGGGAATGGAGCCCGCAACGAAGGCATGTGTCCTGACCAGGAATGCAAATTTCAGTCTCCTGGTTCAAAGGTCAATGCTCAACCACTGAGCCATGCCAGCTGTGCTGGATGCTTGCTTTTAATTATTTTCAGCGTGGGTACAGAACAAGTTAAATCAGCTCTGCAAGTTGAAGTAAGCCCCACTCTCTAGATTAAATAGTTTTTAGGATCTCTGCCAGAGAGGAAAAAAACAAAGCTGATCACCAGAACATGAAATTCACAGTCTGAGAGCAGTCTTTTTTGTTGATGGAAAGGCCTTGAAATTTGCCCAAGGGTGGCCTCTACTTTTTCCTAGGGGATCATTCAAAGTTCCCAGTAAAATGCCTAGCTGGTGTGGCTCAGTGGTTGAGAGTTGACCTATGAACCAGAAGGTCACAGTTTGATTCCTGGTCAGGAAGGCACATGCTCAGGTTGTAGGCTTGAACTCCAGTAGGGGGTGTGTAGAAGGCAGCCGATAAATAATTTTCTCTCATCATTGAGGTTTCTATCTCCCTCTCCAAAATCAATAAGAATATTTTTTAACTATAGGCCCAGTGCATGAATTCGTGCACGGGTGGGTTCTGGCTGACCGAGCCCCGATTGGGGCCCCATCGGGGCTGGGCCGGCTGGGGGAAGGGGCCACAGGTGATTGGCTGGAGGGCCCCACCCCTGATTGGGGTTTAGAGGCCTGTGGGAGGCAGGGTCGGCCATGGGGAGGAGCTGTGGGCAGTGGGTCAGCCGGTCCTGCCCCTGAATGGGGTGGGGGGGGGTACTGATTGGGAGCCAGCAGCCTGGGGTAGGGGCCATGGGTGTTTGGCCATCTGGCCCTGCCCCTGATCGGGGTGGGGCAGCAATCAGGGGCGGGGCCATCTGGGGGGAGGGGTTGCAGGCCTATCATGGTGGGGTGGGTGGAACAGGGGCGGAGCTGGCCAGGGGGAAGGCTGGAGGGGGCGCGTTTGGCCAGCTGGTTCAGAGAGAATGGAGGAGACTGCCACAAGTGGTTAGCTTGCTCTATTTTTATTTATTGATTTATTTTTCAAATATGTTTTTTGTTGGTTTCCTTTCAGAGAGGAAGGGAGGAGAGAAACATCAATGTTGGGAATCATTGATCAGCTGCCTCCTTCATGCCCCCTACTGGGAATGGAGCCCGCAACGAAGGCATGTGTCCTGACCAGGAATGCAAATTTCAGTCTCCTGGTTCAAAGGTCAATGCTCAACCACTGAGCCATGCCAGCTGTGCTGGATGCTGTAAAATACTTCCCCTAGAGCTTACCCTGAATGAACTAGGTGAACCTTTGTTGGAAAAAACTACAACCCTTAAATGTGAAGTAGCCCTCTTCTTCACATTGGTAGTACACACCCCAGGATTGCCCACAAAACACCCACCTAGATAACATTCACATTTCCCGCTCCATTTGGACCACGTTCTCTCACTCCAGACCTAATAGAGTTACCCCTCTTCCGGGTTCGGTGTTGTCTGGGGGGGGGGGGGGGGGGGGGGGGTTATGGCCAAGGATTTGTATGTAGAAATCACCACTCTAAGGATTATTAAGTGTCCATATAAAAAAGATTAATTTTTGTCATTCAACAAATATGTGTTGGGTCTACTAAATGGTAAACCTACCTAAGACTCTGTGGATACATTAGAGAACAAGATAACAAGGTCCTGCTTTAATAAAGTCCATCTTCTGGTTAGAAAAAGTCAGAAAACCACCAGCCAAACACCATACCATTCATTATAAATGCCCCCTGGCCTGAGACCACTACAAACATCCTTTCAATTTAACAAGTTGGGTTTATTAATTGTTATAGCAAGAAGGAACACACATCATGGGGATCTGTGAAGTTTCTCAGTAAGAGGGTGTTAGAAAAGACTTATTAAAGAGTCTGGGCTTGCATTAGGTAGTTTGGGGCATGGTTTAAGAAAGAAGGACTTTGTTCCAGATTGAATGCTGTCAGGAAGTGGAGGCAATTCTGTGACTGATTTGGCATTTTGATAAATCTTATCTATAGCAAGGGCAGACCAAAGTGAGGATAAAGCTTAGACGGGGTGGGGTCAGGGGCGGGGCCATCTGGGGGGAGGGGTTGCAGGCCTATCATGGTGGGGTGGGTGGAACAGGGGCGGAGCTGGCCAGGGGGAAGGCTGGAGGGGGCGCGTTTGGCCAGCTGGCCCACCTTTGATGGGAATGGGATAGTCCGAACAGGGTGGGCCAGTGGGAGGAGGGGCCGCAGGAGGTTGATGGGCCAGCCCCAGCCCCACCCCCTGATCAGGCGGTTCGCTGGCCACAGTGGGCATAATAGTAACCGGTCATTGGTTTTTTATATATTATATTATAATATATATATATATATATAGTATACATTAAAATACTTCCCCTAGAGCTTACCCTGAATGAACTAGGTGAACCTTTGTTGGAAAAAACTACAACCCTTAAATGTGAAGTAGCCCTCTTCTTCACATTGGTAGTACACACCCCAGGATTGCCCACAAAACACCCACCTAGATAACATTCACATTTCCCGCTCCATTTGGACCACGTTCTCTCACTCCAGACCTAATAGAGTTACCCCTCTTCCGGGTTCGGTGTTGTCTGGGGGGGGGGGGGGGGGGGGGGGGGACGCTGTGAGCGTCTGTGCAGGAATGGTGCAATCTGCATCCTTGGGGACACGGGGAAGATGTGGAAGGACAGTGAGGGGAGGTTGGGCTGTGGAGAGCTGGCTGCCAGGACACAGGAGGAGCCAGGAGAGCCACGAGGGGAGGTGCATCAGGAGCACATGGCAGGGCCAGGGGGTCGACACTGCTGCCAGAGGACACTGGGTGAGGAGGAATCCCCAGGCAGTGGGGACCCCAAAACAGGCTGTTGGGGATTGCAGGGGTCGAAGGCAGCAGAACCTGTTACCCGGAGGCCACAAAACCCAGAGTTGGGAGTGGTGAGGGGTAGGGTAAGCCAGGCAGACCAGAGCTCTTTCCCGGCTCTGTGCCTGGGCATCCATCTACTTATCACCCCACACCTTAAGCCAGATATCAAAGCTCTGCCTTCCTTTACCTCGGAACCAAAGCCTCTGTAGGCAGCCCTGCCCCGACCCGCCCAGCTCTCCCCGTCCCTGGGACTCCAGTCGTTGTTGAATGATGGTGGGTTGTGTTCCTTTCCAGAGCCTCTGGGGAGATCAGATTCCTGCTCATTTGTGTTGTTGGCAGAATCTAGTTCCATGTACTTATGGGACGCAGTATCTCTGAGCTGCAAAGTCACGGTCACGTTCTTCATTTTGTTTGAACTCTGAAGAGTTCTTGCTGAGCCAGGACTGACCTTAGCTCCTAGGGTTCCTCTCCAGTCCTAGCACACAGCTGTGTCCTGGCACCAGCACTGGGGCTGATCATCCTGCCAGGGGGCTGGCTCTTCTGTCTGCATCCTTCTCCCTGCAGCTGGTCCTGTGATTAGATTGACCCCAACTGAGGTAAGTCTTGCTGCCGTGAGTACAGCGTTACTAACACATGCAAAGTCGCACCGGCCATGCGGGGAACACGCACAAGTTCTCGGGATTAGGGCATGCACATCTTTGGGAGCAATTAGCCTGCCTTCTACAGTTTATCCTTTGTTCCCCAAAATGTCTGTCTGTTCTGTTTGCAAAATAAACCTATCCCAGGATCCCAAATGGCCTCATTCCAATATGAACTCATCATCCAAATCCCATGATCTCAGAAGTGTGGAACCTGATCATCAAATCTGTCCAGACCAGTTAGGGGTCAGATTCTGGGTGTAGTCACCCTGAAGTGCATTATCTCCCCATCTGTGGGTCTGGGATGCTAAAAAACAAAGTAACTGTTCCTGAAATAAAATGGTGGAACAGCCCAGCTGGTGTGGCTCAGTGGTTGAGCATTGACCTATGAACCAGGATGTCACAGTTGACTTCCTGGTCAGGGCACACCCTCAGGTTGCAGGCTCCATCCCAGTGGGGGGTGTACAGAAAGCAGCCTATCAGCGATTCTCTCTGATCATTGATGTTTTCCCTCTCCTTTCCTCTCTGAAATCAATAAAATATTTCTTACGTGTTGGAGCAGCCCTGGCTGGTTTGGCTCAGTGGATAGAGCATTGGCCTGCGGACTGAAGGGTCCCAGGTTCAATTCTGGTCAAGGGCACATGCCCAGGTTGTGGGCTTGATCCCCAGTAGAGGACATGCAGGAGGAAGCCAATCAATGATCTCTCTCTCCCTTCCTCTCTGAAATCAATATATATATATGTAAAAATAAAAAATGTTGGAGCAGACCTAGGATAGCTGTATATATATTCTGTTTAAAAAGGGGAGAAGAATGGAAAGAAAAAAGAGGCACAGTCTCAAGACATTTTGAAAATCATGTGGATCAAGCCCTGGAAGCATCATCTGTGGTTCAGGGCCCTGCCCACTGGGCTGGAAGCTCCCCGTTAGGGGTTCTGCTCTGCTGAGTCATGCTTCCTTTTTCATGAAAGGTAACTCGGGGTTGCAGCTCAGTCTTCTCAGCCAGTTTCATACGTGTAGACGTTGGAGGTATATACCCTTTGATTTCATACTGTCCCTTTAGATCCAAGGTGTTTCTATGGTTTTTCTAAGCAGCTTAGCATTAAAGTTCTTTTTTTTTTTTTTTAATATATTTTATTGACTTTTTTACAGAGAAGAAGGGAGGGGGATTAGAGAGTTGGAAACATCAATGAGAGAGAAACATCGATCAGCTGCCTCCTGCACACCCCCTCCTGGGGATGTGCCCGCAACCAAGGTACATGCCCTTGACCGGAATCGAACCTGGGACCCTTTAGTCCATAGGCTGATGCTCTATCCACTGAGGCAAACGAGTCAGGGCAGCATTAAAGTTCTTTACGTTGGTTTTCTTCATTGGATCTAAATTTTGAATAGCCCAATTTTTAATAAAAACAGTATTATTTTTTATATGTTACTAGAGGCCCGGTGCACGAAATTCATGCATGGAAGGGTCCCTCAGCCCAGCCTGCACCCTCTCCAATCTGGTACCACTGGCTCCCAACAGCTCACCTGCCTGGTCACCCCTAACTGCCTCCGCCTGCCAGCCTGATGTGCCTAACTGCCCCCCTCCCTGCCAGCCTGATTGCCCCTAACTGCCCTAACAAGGTGTCTCCCCAGTGTTAATGTTCCAATATATGAAGTTCAACATCTGATTGATGTCTTCCTCTCAAAGGAAGATCACAGAGTTCCTGTCCATGTGAGTCCTTCTGTGTTGAAAGCACTCCTACAGCCTTCCTGCAGTGTGAACTTTCTGATGCCGAATGAGGTGGGAGCTTAAGCTATAGGCTTTCCCGCATTCATTGCACTCATATGGCCTTTCTCCAGTGTGAACTTTTTGGTGCCGAACAAGGTGGGAGGTTCTTATGAAATCTTTCCCGCATTTGCTACACACAAAAGGCCTTTCACCCGTGTGAACTCTCTGGTGTGCAATAAAGTCAGAGCTTCGGCTAAAGAATTTCCCACATTCAATGCATTCAAAAGGCCTCATCTCGGTGTGAATTCTCTGGTGTTTAATTAGGGTGTATTTGTGGCCAAAGGACTTCCCACAATCACTGCAAACATAAGGATTTTCTCCAGTATGGATGCTCTCATGCTGAACAAGTGTGGATTTGTGTCTGAAAACTTTCCCACAATCATTGCACTTATAAGGCCTTTCTCCATTGTGAACTCTCTGGTGTACAATTAAATTGGAGTGATGGCTAAAGTATTTTCCACATTCACCACACTTGTAAGGCATTTCTCCAGTGTGAATTCTTTTGTGCTGTGTGAGGTTGTCTTTGCGGCTAAAGGACTTCCCACATTCACTGCACTCGAAAGGCCTCTCCCCAGTGTGGATTCTCTGGTGCTGCACGAGTGTGGCTTTGCGGCTGAAGGCCTTCCCACACTCACCGCACTCGTAAGGCCTTTCCCCAGAGTGGATTTTCTGGTGCTGAACAAGCGTGTCTTTGCGGCTGAAGGCCTTGCCACATTCGTTGCAATTGTAATGCATCTGTCCGATGTGCAAGGCCACCCCCCTCTCAGTGCTCCTTGTCTTCCTCTTGCGGTGGGTGGCCTTTTGCTGGTGACTGTCCACACGTGCCTGGAAGTCCTTCTCATCCCCCTCACACACAGAGGGCTGCTCTGATGGATGAGGTCCTTCACAGACTCTACAGTCCTGTGCAAATGTGGCCTTGCCTTTGTCTCTGACGGGCTCCTCTACATTGTACTGCTTCTGGTGCTGGTAAAAGTTTGCACCAAATGAGAACTGTCTCCCACATGCCTCACATGTGTATGGTTTCAGTCCATAATGTGTTTCCTGGTGGTCATCCAGATGCAAAATGTCTTTCAAGATGGGGCCACATATGTCACAAGGCTGAGCCATCTGGGCCGAGGAACCTCCCTCCTGATGGGCTTCTCTACATTGTACTGCTTCTGGTGCTGGTAAAAGTTTGCACCAAATGAGAACTGTCTCCCACATGCCTCACATGTGTATGGTTTCAGTCCATAATGTGTTTCCTGGTGGTCATCCAGATGCAAAATGTCTTTCAAGATGGGGCCACATATGTCACAAGGCTGAGCCATCTGGGCCGAGGAACCTCCCTTGGCAGGACGCACAGGTGACACTTCCACAGAAATGCTCTGCTCAGAAGATGCCTCTTCATCCTTCACCCCAAGGCAACAACCTGAAGCCAGAAAAATGCTGCTGAAGCCACTAAGTGCTGAGAGGGGACAACCGATGGCAGACGTGTGTCTAGCGCACCCGTGGCTGAGTCCACGTTAAAGGAAGAGCTGATGTGCATGACTGGCTCTAAGGGTCGCAGGAAGGGGACGGCCTGAGGACGGACAAAGGTACAAGGCTCAGGTGTAGCCTGGGGACAAGCAGGCAGGACTGCCAGCTTTCCCCTTGCAAATGACTTTTAAAAAGGCCTTGGCTGTTGGGAAAAGGTGAGTGCTACATGGGAATGTATGCCCAGGCCCGGGAGAAGCTGACTTAGAGTTAATAACTGGTATTGGAGAACTGCTGAAGGTTATGTGTATGTCTCCGATATTTTAGCATCATCCAGTATGGGAGCAGGAGAGAGCACTGGTGATTGGGGTGGACAGCCCTGGGTCAGAGGTCAGAATAGAAAGTGTCTAGAATGGGGAGGAAATAGCCTGGGCACCAAACAGTAGTGGGCACAGGACAGGTTCCTGGTGTTACCTGAACTGAACCCCAAAGTCACCCCGAAGCTCTAACTTACCAGGGCCCGTCCACGCCGCTCCTGCTGTGGCCAGAGTCATTACCTCCCAGGAAAGTGCTTTCTCCTGTTACAATTCAGCAGCCACGGAGGATCTGGAAGATACAAGTCACAGAAGAAAGAGGGCCCCTCCCATAACGGCCTCAGGTCTTGCAGAGACATCCAGTGGCTCCCACAGCCATGACCGTGACCGTAACCCATAACACAGGTCGGCCCAGGGAAATACCAATTGAAGACGGGGGCAGAGTGACAGAATGAAGGCCCGGGTTCGATTCCAGTTGAGGGCATGTGCCTTGTTTGCAGGCTCAATCCACGGCCGTCAGGACACATGCTGGAGGCAACCAACTGGTGTCTCTCTCTCATCAATGTTTCTGTCTCTCCCTTTCCCTTCCACTCCCTCAGAATCAATGGAGGAGCCTCCACGCCGGGCCTTGTGGTCTCCCCCGCCCTTCCTTTCAGTTTCTCTGGCTCCGAAGCTGGAGGCGGACAAAAATGGCAGAAGCCAGGGCCCCGGCGGGTGGCCGCAGCACCGGGGGTTCCTTCTGAGTTGGCCCAGCCGCCGGGGACACGCGCACAGGA